GCCAGCCGCAAGCCGCAGCCTCGGCATCTCTAAGTGCTCTCTACAGGCCGTCTAGACAGGGAAGCCCCTGCCAGGTCGGAGGAAAAGCCTGGTGGAGGAGCCACCTGCGGGCTCGTCTCTCCCGGGGGAAGAGAGGGACGTGCTGGGCGGGAGGAGGAAGGGCGCTCTGGATGGAGGAGACAGCGCCGCCACAGGAGAACTTGGGCGTGAGTGTGGGGTTGGCACCGACAGGCGCAGGACTGCGTGCAGGGTCAGGACATCAGCCTGGAGTCATGTTGGGAGGGTCTCTAGGCCTCACAGGACAGGGTGGCTCTCACCTCCAAGCTTACAGAGTGGGGGACCCACGCCTGCAGCTCCTGACTATACTCTTCCCTGGATGGTGCCTGGGACATTCCTCCTTGAGCCTGAGGAGGGGTTTAGTTGGCACAATACAGGGGAAGGTTGAGGGGACCCTCCTCCCCAGCCCTTCCCCAGCCTGAGTCCCCAGAGCTGGTGACCTCTTGGCTGAGGCCTGTCCCCACAGCCTTGGAGTGCCCTCCCTCTCTCCCCTGAGATCTGGCCTCCAGCTTCTCTGGCCACTGGAGCGGCTTAATGAGCCCCAGTCACATGGGCCAAGCTACTGCCTGTGGGGAGGGCCCAAGCCCCCAGTGGCTACCCAATCAGATCCTGACGTCAGTGGCATTAACCGTCTGCCAGGCTTGTCTAATCTCTGGTCAGTGGTTGGGCCAGGTTAGTCCCGCCAGAGCCAGAGCTGGAGGCCGAGAGGGCCCTTGGGGGCACCTTGAGGTTGCAGGTCAGGCAGGACAGTGGTGGCCGTAGGTGCCCGCAGTAAATGCCCCCTACCTGCACTACTAGGTGTGGCCATGGTGCCAACTCTGGCCAGCTCTCTCTGATCCTCTGCCCTGACTTTGAATCAGGCATTGGGCAACCACTGCTCCTGCTCCTTGGGGTGTAACTGCACTGGTGTGGCGAGTGGGGCCGTGAGGCTTGCCAGCCATGGAAAGGGCAGCTTGAGACCAGGCATCATCTCCAGCCCATGAGATCCAGGAATATAGGTCCTGAACCCCAGACTCTGGGTTGAGAACCATGCACGGGAGGGGACTCCCTGGAGCGTGGGGTGCACCCCCTGCAATGGTGTTTGGGCTTCTCTCTGTCTCTTGCCCAGGAGGGCTGGGAGCTCACTACTTTTCTTCCAAGACAAGGTGGCTGTGTGAAGACCCCATCAGCCCATCTCCCCTGACAGCCTCCTCCCTCTCTAACTTGCCTCCTCCAGCTCCTCAAAGCTTTGTCTTCCTCCTTGCCTCTCCCCTTAAATCCTGCCGTCACTCTTCCCTGAGCACCCCATTCTAGTCCACTACTCAAGCAGAGGGTCCTTAGTTGAGATGAACAGCCCCTGCTCAGCCAGGCCCAAGACCACCCAGGGGGGTCCTAAACCACTGGCCCAAGCTCCATCCTCCCCTCAGGTCTCTGAGCAGCACCAGGTGGTTGCCCATACGTGTCCTGGGCTTTCTAACACAGCCAGTGTCCCCAAACCCTGTGCTCAGGTCTGGGTACCCTTACCGTCCCCTGGCACCTGCTATCCAGCTGCCTCCTGGACATCTCCCCAGTGGCCACAGGTCTGGAAAACTCAGTCCCCTCAGTGTTCCTCTGTAGTCCCAGCTTGGTGGGGGCATCACATGCTCTTGGTCAACACATAGATCTGGGTCCTGTCACTGAGCCCCACTCCTTTCAGATCCTGGCCCCACAGGGTAAGGAGGCCGTGTCTTCTCCATGGATCCTGGGCCCACTTCTCCCCCATGGCCACTCACACCAGTCCCCAGGAAACATGTGTGCCCCCAAATACATGATTTTATGAAAAATTTTAATGATTGTTTTTTCCAGAAGCAGATTTGGAAAATATTACTGACTATTTTATTTCCATTAAAGTCAGGAAAATAAAATTATAAATTGTTTTAGGTATAAGTAAAATATTTAAGCTTAAAGAAACATTTTGAGTTTTAATATACTTACTGTAAATTATTTCAATGTTTTTTTAACTAAAGTTATGTGAGAAAATTAACCATTAAAAATACGTAAAACCGGTTATAGGAGTGGGCGTTTTCCTCTTGCTTCAGGCTCCAGTATGACTTCCCAGGGCTCGCTCGGATTTTGAACTTATTTAGAATATTGATATCTTGTGCATCATGGATTTTTTTGCAGCCATTCTGATTTTTAAAAGCATTGCATTAATATATTATTTGATTATTGAAAATTTTGTCCCAATCATAAATTTTGCACCAGAGATAATGCCTCACTTGCCTCACCCTTAATCCCAGCCCGACAATTATGCCCTGGCTTCGAGGGTTTCAGAGACCTCTCATCTTGTGGGGGAAGCTCAGGCCTCCAGGATGGCATTTGGCACTCTCCCACAGCTTCCACCCCACCCCATGTCCCCCTTCGCTCCTCTTGCTCTACTGAACTCCTGTGGCCCCCAAGGCCATGTTCCTGGGCCTTATACCCCTTACTACCCCAGCCAGAATGAGCTTCCATCTCAAAACTCCCTCTTGATCCAAGACAGTCCCTGCAAGCATTTCCCATGGCTCCTCTCCCCGAGCCCCCATCAAGAGGCACACTTTGGTCCCATGTTCCCAAGAGTGCCCCCTGCCATGTCAGGCCAGCTGCCTCAACCTGGAGGACCCATCTTCCCACTTGTGTCCAGCCTGGCACTGGGCACTTCATAAATGCTCATGACTCATGATAATTAATACTCTCCCCCTCCTCCCAAGAAAGGACATCGGGGACCTGATGCAAAGGTTTATTGCTGAGTCTGAGCATCTAGTCACGGGGAGTGCGAATGGTGCCCTGGCCTCGCTAGATGGAAGCTCCTGTCCTCACCTGCAGTACGCGCCGGGCCCATGGGCATCAGCGAAGACTGGGTAATTGAGGAGCAGGGAGTGGGGATGAGGGGACATGGGTTTTTGGCCCTGACAGTTCAGGCCTGGCCCTCAGTTATTCCTGCCGGGAAGTGGGCCTTGAGTAGAAAGGGTGAGAGAAGCTGCTGGCAGGGACGAGGGTCAACTGGGTTTGCTTGTGACCCCACCTGAGGTAGACCCCTCAGGGCCACCATCCTGTCCCAACTTCTTTTCCTGGGGCAGATCGATGGGAGCTGAACTCTGCCCCCAGCCACCCCTCAGGACAGCTTGACCATTGGCCGAAGCTGGTGTCAACAGTATCCTCCCTCAACAGACCATCCCCTTGACCGAGGCCTCGAATACTGTGGGTGGGTGGGTGAGGTAGAACATGGATCTAGTGTCCAAGGACGGAGGGGGCAGAGCCTGTGGGGGAAGGGGCTGGGGGGTTACTCTGAGACTGGTCTGTGGGGAAGGGTCCAGCTTAAGTCTCTCTTTGGCACCCAGGGGCTCCCAGGCCTATGTCAGAGCTATACAGGCCAGAGCTGGCTTAGACTTTGGACCCCAGAAGCCACTGGGAGGGACAGTCACTGGCCACTGGGTAGACAGGTGTCAGACTTGTCACATGGAGGTGGTAAGGCTTGGAACGGGCTGATGGCAAGCAGGCCTGCTTGGAGGAGGGATCCCTTCCTGCCCCCCTGCAATTCCTGAAACTCTGGGAGGGAGGGCTGTTTGCTGAGCCCAGACCCACCGGGTGAGTCACGGGCCCCCTGGGGCGGGAGAGCTGCAGGAGATTGGCCAGTCGGGCACTGCTGAGTCACTGTGTGCTCTAGCTGCCCCAAGTCCTGCCGGCTCCTAGCTGGGGCTGGCTGTGGTGGGTCCTGGAGGCCAGTGCAGCCAGGCCGTGAAGGGCAGCACTGGGGTTTGGGGCACTTGGCCCTGGGAGGCCTGGGAGCTACAGGGGAGGGTCAGGAACTGAAAGTTAGTGGGACTCAGGGTTTTGAGTCTGGCTGGTGGGGCCACAGGCCGGGGCTCCGGAGTCCTGCTGGCTGGGGCTACAAGCTGGCTAGGCTACAGGGTCTCAGGACATGCATGGGTTCAGGGACCTGGGAAAAGAAGGAGCCTTGTCAGCATCCCCAGCCCCAAAATAACTGGGCCTAGGCTGAGAGACACTGTGGAGGTGGCTTTGGAAACAAGGACACCTGCAGGATTGGAGCCTGGTCAAAAGAGCTTAAGTGGGTGGGACTTGTGAGCCAGGGGCGGGGCCTGTGACAGTGGGGTGGAGCCTGAGGGGGCCTGGAAGGTCTGGGTGAGGCAGTGGAGTGGGTCCGCTGTAGGGAGGTGGGGTGGGGAGTGGGCATGGGACTGGAGCACAGAGATCACGGGGCACGGCAGGGGAGCACCCGGGCCGAGAGGGGCCCCCCTCAGAAGAGGCCGCAGTCTTTGAGGTTCTCCTTGATGATGATGTCAGTGACGGCGTCGAAGACAAACTTGACGTTCTGCGTGTCCGTGGCGCACGTCATGTGGGAATAGATCTCCTTCACGTCGCGTCGCATGTTGAGCTCGAGGAACTGCACCTTGATGTAGTTGCCCGCGTCGTCGTAGGTGTTGGGCCCTGGTGGGGAAGGGGGCTCTCACTCCGGGCCCCGGTCCTT